AGAATTTTCCACAGTTTATTGTGATCCACACAGTCAAAGGCTTTGGCATAGTCAATAAAGCAGAAATAGATGTTTTTCTGGAACTCTCTTGCTTTTTTGATGATCCATCGGATGTTGGCAATTTGATCTCTGGTTCCTCTGCCTTTTCTAAAACCAGCTTGAACATCTGGAAGTTCACAGTTCACATATTGCTGAAGCCTGGCTTGGAGAATTTTGAGCATTACTATACTAGTGTGTGAGATGAGTGCAATGTGTGGTAGTTTGAGCATTCTTTGGGACTGCCTTTCTTTGGGATTGGAATGAAAACTGACCTTTACTCAGCCATAAAAAAGAATGAAATAATGTAATTTTTAGCAACATGGATGGACCTAGAGATTATCATACTAAGTAATTCAGACAAAGACAAATATGTGATATCACTTATATATGGAATCTAAAAAATAGTACAAATGATTTTATTTAAAAAACAGAAACAGATTCACAGACATAGAAAACAACTTAGGGTTACCAAAGAGGGAGGGTGGGTAGGGATAAACTGGGAACATGGGATTAACAGACACACACCACCATATATAAAATAGATAAACAGAAGGTACAGAGAATTGTATTTCATATCTCAATGCCCAAGAAACTATAATAGAAAAGCATTTTTTTAAAAAAATGTAGATATATACATATATGTGTTTAGTCACTCAGTCGTGTCCAACTCTTTGGGATCCCAGGCTCCTCTGTCCATAGGATTCTTCAGGCAAGAATACTGGAGTGGGTTGCCATGCCCTCCTCCAGGGGATCTTCCCAACTCAGGGATCGAACTCAGGTCTCCCACATTGTAAGCGGATTCTTTACGGTCTGAGCCACAAGGGAAGCCCATATACATATATGTGTATAAGAGAAACACTTTGTTAGACACCTGTAACTAAACAATATTGCAAACCAACTATACTTCAATAAAAAATTAAATTAAAAAATCCATCAGCCACCTTTGAAAGGTGTTAAAGAACCAACCCATTATTCTAAATAAAGAAAAAAAATTCAAGACTTATACTGCCTTAACTATAAAGAATCATAACTTGAACTAACCAAATAGTTAATGAGAGTACATTTTTCTTTATAAAAGTATTATAATTAATAATTTAAAAGAAATATAAGAACTGGATATCACTATTCAAATCCCTTGATGAAATAATGGATCCAGGAAATGAGTGTTCATTCCCTGAAAGATGACTAGGCTCTTTCTTGCTCCCAGCCACTGTGGCAGCTGCTCTTGTTTGGAGGCAGTCCCACACCTATGGCAGAAAAATAGTGATCCAAAAGAAGACAAAAAAGTTCCTGAAGTTGATCAGTTCTAGGCTCCCACTTGTCATAGAAAGTGGAAAGTAGGTGCTGCAGATACAAGCAGACTCTGAAAATGTTCAGATAAGGTAAGAAGAAACCAGTCATCTTCACCAACAAATGCCAAATGCCCAAAACAAATGGAAATCTGAAATAGAGTACTACACCATATTGGTCAAAACTGGTGGCCACCACCACAGTGGCAATGATAGTGAATTGGGAACAGCATGTTGAAAATCTACAGTATGTATGTCACTGGCAAAGCCCGCAGGGGTCCTTGGAGGTGCTGGGGGCAGGGATAAGATAGAATCTAGGTAATAAGGTCTAACCTCTTCTTTGGGTTTATCAGATGGAACAGTGGTAAAGAATCTACCTGCCAAGCAAGAGATGTGGGTTCGATCCCTGGGTTGGGAAGATCTCCTGGAGAAGGCAGTGGCAATGCACTCCAGTTTTCTTGCCTGGAAAATCCCACGGACAGAGGAACCTGGCATACTACAGTTCATGGGGTTGCAAAGAGCCAGGCATGACTTAGCAACTGAGCACAAACACAACCTCTTCTTTGAGCATTTTTTTTTTTTCAGTTGCCTATAGGGGGCCTTGTGCACAACATATGGTATTAGGGTTCCCAGTGAAGAACTACTGTGCCTGACACTGCAGCTCTCTGGACTGCAGGGGACCACATGCAGAAGCACTGTGTTCAACATCTCAATTCAACATGGTAGAGACAGGCCATGTACACAGACCCTAAGACCAGTAGAGAGAGCTGGAGTTGGAGCACTACACCAGCCAGGGGGCCCAATGGAAACTCTACCCCCTACCCTGCTATTGAGAACCCTACAAAGCAGCCCTGCCTATTCAGGGAGCCGGTACTATGCAGGTGAGCTCACATTTCTCCAATCTCTGATCAAATAAGGCTTTCCTTTGGTGCTGAACCAAACTAGATAGATAGTGATAGTGAAGTCGCTCAGCGGTGTCTGACTCTTTGCAACCCCATGGACTGGGGTCTACCAGGCTCCTCCGTCCATGGGATTCTCCAGGCAAGAATACTGGAGTGAGTTGCCATTTCCTTCTCCAGGGGATCATCCTGACCTAGGGATTGAACCCAGGTCTCCCGCATTGGAAGCAGAAGCTTTTAACCTCTGAGCCACCAAGGAAGCCCACTGAACCAAACTAGGTCTCTTTCCATTGGCATTAGTGATGCTGGGCAGGAGGACTTTTGTGGGGACTGACTGAAAAGGGTTGGCAACATGCACGCTGGCTATTATTGACCCAGGTGATTCCGATATCACTAGAAGAATGCCAGAATGGACTAGTGCAAAGTAAATTGTGCATATTTTTTCTTCAGTAAAACTGCCCAGAGTTTAGAACAAATGCGAAAAAGAGAAACAACCGGATGTTATGTGTCTCCTGATGGAAGTGTAAATATACCAATGAAGCATTATTGTCAAAATTGCCAAGTCTAACCTGATCAAGACTGCAGATCTAGCTACAAGTGTTCAGAAGGACAGGGACATCACAGAAGTATGTTCAATAAAATCTAGAGTATGAGAAATTCTGCAGGAAAAAAAATATAGTTTCTTCAGTAAATACTTGCAAGGGGGAAAAAAGAAGAGAAAGAATCTGTAGGGTAAAAGAGAGAGAGGTATCAACCTAACACAACACAAGGGACTTGTCTGCATAATTAGTCAAACAAATCAACTACTTAAAAAATCTTTTTAAGATAACTTGAAAACAGTGTTTTAGATGTAATAGTGTACTATGATTATATTTTTAACATGCTTATCTTTTAGTGATATATAATGAAATATAATAAAATATAGATAAACAAACAGTAAAATATATAAGTACATGCTTAATGGAGGTTTTGATTTAACAGACCAGGTAGTAGTGTCTGGTCACTTATGTTTTAAAAAAACAAACCAAAATGAAACTCCAAGTTAATTCTGAAATATACTATTGACCAAAGGCCACCAACCCAGACCATAGCCATATTATAAACAGTGAAAATGGAGGAAATAAAGCAGTTAACACTTGTGACTTACGGTGACACCGTTTCCCATCAGGAAGCAGAACATACCCCTAGGGCATGTGCAGTAATAGGATCCAGGGATATTTTCACAGCCCTCTGTGCAGCCATGATTCTGAAAAGCACACTCATTGACATCCACACCATGACAACAGCAAAACAGTCAGAAGGTAATTTTTGAAAATAAACTGTAGTATCATTAACATGTCAGCAGTAAATAGGTTATCTCACACCTCTATCTGACTGTACCAAGACAGTTTTTCCTACCCTAACAAGGGGTGAAAGAAAGTCAGTTCAATTATCCTGAAAGCCACCATTTAAACTGTCACAGTTTATTCTTTCAAATACAGATTTTCATATTAGAATTACTCTTGGGATAAAGTAGCAGTATTTCCCCTGAAAAGATACAGCCACTTAAGGAAGGACCATGGAAAGTTCTTGACAAGGACAAGACAGCCCATGCTCTGCTCTTCAGCCCTCTCAATGCTGACAGGGGCCCTTTACCTGAACGTGGGAACATTCCCCAGCAGTTTTACTCTGGCCAAAACCCAGCCTTCCAGATCACTGTTCTATGCAATGGTTGTCATCTCCTGGTCCCATGTAAGCAGGGGGCCACAATTAACAGGCAGATCCCAGGTTTACCTAAAGTCTCATCCACCGAATGCTTTTTGTCAGTACTTTGCTGGCCCTCCGAGAAGGGACACACATAGCATTTCACCCTAGGTTCATTACATTGAGTCTGGAGTCTCAAAACAGGAAAAGACTAATATAACCAGCCCCGGCACAGTCTCTCAAGATTCCGACCAAACGGTTACACGATGAGATGGGGGAATCACATACTCTTTGAGGATCTCTTATGAGAACTAAAAAACTTCACAATACTCACATTTTGCACATCGTCAAACCAAACCCACGGAGGTCCATGGAGTCCACTCAGAGAATTCCTGCCTTATGTTCATCCCTGAGTAGCCTCTGAAAGTGTTTGATCTAGGAACAGAAGATAAAAAGGAAAACTGAAAGTGCTACAAAGGCTTTAAAATTGGGGGGGGGGGAATAACATTCCTTTTCTGGGGGGGGGGGAATGAGAAAATTTGAGTTTGGTTTCACATTGAGGCTCTTGATGACCCACTGAAGACCAGCCACTGGCTAAGCTGAGCTGCACTTGCTCACCACAGATTACCTTCACAGTTCCTTCCATCCTGGCTTAAAGTGTATCCCTCTGCTCACATGCACACTTGGGACATAGGCTCTTGCTCACACATGCTGCCGCTGCAGTTACCTTTCTTCAGTTTTCAGAGTTTCTGATCTAAAAGAGAAGACAGTTAATCTGGAGCAGAGGTATGTTTTGACAGGGATACTACATGATCCCTGCCTGGTTCTTAAGAACTCTAATCTTCCGGCGACGTCAGCAGGAGTGTTGTTTCACAGTGGTGGCACTGCTCTAGGGTCAAACCATAGCCCAGATTACTCAGCATTCCAAAGTTCATTTATTTCTCTAATTGTACTCCTCCTACAGTAGCTCTCAGGATGAACAAAGTGAAAGTGTTAGTAGCTCAGGCATGTCTGGCTCTTTGCAACCCCGTGGACTGTAGCCTGCCAGGCTGCTCTGTCCATGGAATTCTCCAGGCAAGCACACTGGAGTGGGTTGCCATGCCCTTCTCGAAGGGATCTTCCTGACCCAAGGACTGAACCCCAGTCTACTGCATTGCAGACAGATTCTTTACTGTCTGAGCAAACAGGGAAGTCCTAGTTCTCAGGTTAGGACATACAATTAAATGGAAATGTCATTCCTTGGGTTATAAACACTAAGTACAACTTAATAGCTTTAACTTTTTGACCTACTTTTGTGAAAATATGTATTTATGTATTTATTTTAAAAAACAAGGCAAAAAGCAAATGTTTTTTTGTTTTTCTGATGATGTTTCTTATTGAAAATGCTGAAAATGAAGTATCTGTTTAAGAAGCATAAAAGCTACAAAATTAAGAACACATTTTCTTAAGTATAATATTTACAGGTCAGATCTATGTATCTATCTATTTTTAGGGTCATTATGTAAAGAACAGCATCTTTCAGACAATATATTCCATTGCCATATGTCATATCCTCAAATTTCTGAGTTTCTTGTTTCATGAAATAGCCCAGGGTGAGCAGTAAAATCTGCTCAGTGAGGTAGGTGCTTGGGTTAAATTAGCCAAATACACTGAACAACAAATGGCCCACTTGGTACTTTGGTTATCAGAGCCATGGGCTAAACTGGCAACACATATATCCCTATTCACAATTTGCTCATTTTTTTTTCCTGCCAATTGCAATGACTTTATGAAATACTATGGGATAAGCTTGAGCTTGAGGGTAGCTCTCAAGGTGCATTTTGGAGGCCAGAGCTCTGGTAATAGATGACGGCAGGGGAAGAGGATTTGGGCCATGGGCCAGGAGTCCTGGCATAACTGAGATCAGTGACAGCCTGAGTAATGTGAGGAGCCAAGGACCTACGAAAAGGATCATTTGAAAAACCAGCCTTCTGTGAAAGAAACAAGCCAAAGAGATAAGTCAGTGAGAGCCCATGCATGGCAGTGTGAGGCCTAAGCTGTCCTCCGTGTAGGTTTGTTTCCCTGGTCTCTGTTCATCTATTAGTATTTAGAATGATGGCACCTAACTCTGACTCTGCCCTTTCCTTCTACTTCAAGTTACTAAACACATTCCTTGACCAACAAACCATCACACATGCATATGTCACTAAGCTGTGTCCAACTCCTTGCAACCCCACAGACTGTAGCCTGCCAGGCTCCTCTGACCATGGGATTCTTCAGGCAAGAGTACTGGAGTGGGTTGTCATTTCCTTCTCCAGAGGATCTTGCCAACCCGTGGATGGAACTCAGGTCTCCTGTATGGACAGGCAGGTTCTTTATCCCCGAGCCACTTGAGAAGCCCAAAGCATCACATGTTGAAAACATAGTCTTGTCCACTTGAAAATGTTTTTAATGTACATCGAGGTCTCTTGGGGGGGCATGTCACCTTCTAGAGATTCTGACCTGATAAATGAAGGGAAAGGCTCATCTTCACCAGAATCTAGAACAACTCTGATGGTAGGAGTCTTCACAGCACACTTTAAGAAACACTGGCCTAATATTCTAAGGGAACATCCCACTTTCACCCAAGTTACCAACACTTCTTTTTAGCTAATCTGTGTTATTTCTTTGGTTATTTTAAACTTGTTTACTCAGATCTCTTGATAGAATTAAATGCACAGTATTTATGATTATTTAATTCTACTGCAATACCACCTACTAAGTCAGGTAAGATTTACACAGAATAGTTTTGAATATTGATTCCAAAATTTTTGTTTCTTGTCCACAGTTTTTATGCCAATTACACATTTAGTTACATTTTTCTTCATGTTCCTATATGCTTCACATATCAACATCTTAATTAAGACAATTAAGAACCAAATGACCCCAGTTTTTAAAGTAAGTGACCAAAGTCAGAAACTTGAAGACATACTGGAGACAAAATGTACCTACTTCAATTTCTTAAAAAAAGCATGTGATTGTTTTAACTGTACTTTTTATAATATTTACAAGTGAAAATCAACAAAAATCCAGCAAGGTCTGATTCAGCCTTTTAATAGCACCAAAGTGCTACCACTTTCTTGAGGTAACAAAAAATTGAGGGATCATGCTTCCTGTAAATATCTTTTATAAAAATCTTTCCAAACCAAGCATGATAGATGACCACTGCACTTAAGAGTTGGGAAAACTGAGTTCTGTCTCAGTTCTTTTACTTAAAATCACTTTATCTCTTTGACTTCAGTTTCTGTGAAATAAAAGTGTTGAAGTAGATAGCCCCTGAAATCTCTCACTGAGAAAAACACTGTGGTTCTATACCATAATCAGATATGTGTTGTAAATTCCTCTAAGTTTACATCTTTAAACATTCTCAAACTTTAATTACTGCTTATAAACGTTAAGGGATATTCAAACTGACTTATGAAGAAAACAGTGAGTGTCTAGGATACAGGAAATTGCTCTTTCATCTAGATTCACTGTTATTTTTCTCTTTTCTTCTTGTGCTTTTCTATTCCCTCTTACCTGCTCTCCTGTGTGTTCTTATCATCACTGACATTGCCATTATCATCACAATTATATATGTATATGTATGTGCATATATGTGTCTCTTTTTCATTAATCGCTAAGCTTTTGAAGGTATGGCATGTATCCCATTCACATGTATAGTCCAAGTAGCACCTAACCTGGTGCCTTTTACCACACAAGGGTGCTATAAACATCTGGAATACATGCACAAAAATTGGTGCTAGTGAAACCTGCAACTTATCTCCCTTTGGTTTCTCCTTGAATATCCAGTCAACCTCAGAGTTATGTTAGGTAGTTAGAATAGGGAAAAAGAGTCCAAAATGGCGGTGGCTAAAAGACCTGGAAGGGGAAAGCCCGCAAAAATAGAACAAAGGAAGGTCCGAGGACCGGAGTAAGACCCTCAGATAAAACAAACAATGCTCTTGCCTAGGCCCAAGTTACATAAGACAGGCCCAGGGACAGAGAAACATATAAAAAGAGAAGCCAAAGCTCTCTCTCTCTCTCTCTCCCTCTCTCTCCCGCGCGATGGGGTGATCTTCTCTTCGCGTCTTTGGGTCGACGTGCCCTCGTGCCTCAAAGATGGATTTTCCTGCTATTATCTAAATAAATAGAGCTGTAATGCTAAGCTGTAACACTGATTTATTTAAGAGCTATAACACGGTCTGTCCTCCGAGAGCTGCGACCCGCTGAGGGGGCTTCAATGTCCGTCACTCCAAATTTTTGCTGTGACGAGACAAAGAACCGAGGAGCATACACTCGCGTGACGGTTAGAACTCAAACAGTACTCGTTTTACTATACCACAAGGCCAACGGTTTTACTGATACTTATTAACAATATACATTATTATTCAGTGGTGAACATAGGAGAAAAGCAATCACTATTCTACTCTGAATGGCTGTGCTAATGATGTGACCTGAATTCAGACACTCAACACCTAAAAGCCATTTTAGGAAGTGGCAAAACAGAGGATTGAGAGCTGTATTTTGCTTAATCTCCTTAATCTTCTGCTGTTCTTTAGCCTCAAATTAGGTAGAAGCCAGCACTCAGAATGCTGCTGCTGACCTCAGATAACACCTCTCCCAGAGCTCAGCAGTGCGGCCTGATTACCTTTGAGATCAAATTAAAGCTCCTTAATCATGGAATTTAATGTCCACCCCCAACTGCGCCTTCAATAACTTTCCGGCACACAAGCCCTCATGAGCTTTGCTATAGCCAAGCAAACTATAGATTTTTACCTTGGCCCAGTTCTGAAACAACACACGTGGGATTCCTGAGCCTGCTTCTTTCCACTGATCACACCTTTTTCTCAACCTCAAATTCAGTGTCAGGTTCACGTCATCAACAAAGCCTTTCCAGTCTCTTCCATTTGAAACCATTCACTTGAGTCATTCTTGTAACTAAATATTTAGCAACCCCAATGGTTACAAAATTTGAATAATGTTTTATAAAGCATTTATACTATCACGTTATTTTCATAACAAGTCCTTGAGCTGTGTAGAGCAATTGTCTTCATTTTACAGATTATGAAATAGTATCTTAAGGATCATATATAGATAATAAGGGATAGGACCAAGGCTTGAATTCCAGTCTTCTGTGATATACCCCATCTCTTTACTACAGATAACATGTGTGTATGTGTACATGTATATATGTATACTTAGGTGTGTGTGTATAGAACAATGGGTTTTATAGAAAAACACATTCATATTAGTGATATTATTTACTGATATATATCAGTTATTAGCATATTAACAGATGTTATACTATATTTTTATATATGTAAATTAAATGTACATAGTATATTTTTCTATAAATGTTCATGATTTTTGTTTTATTTATTGTCTGTTTCATTAGTGAGTTTCCTGAATCAATGGTTCACTCACCTTGCTCAAAAAACCTCCCAAACAGTATAATATAGGAGTTTTTTGTTAATAGAAAAGAAAGAGAAAGAAACAAGAGAGGTTATTCTGTGCTATTGCAATTCTTAATTATAGTAGAAAATCACTTAGCCAGAATTTAGCTACTTGGTATCATTATCCATCTAAACCTAAGAATCAGAAAGTAAACAAATCAGCAGCCTCTGAGCAGTTAAAAAATAAATGCCTTTCACTCACAGAAGAGCCTTAACCAAAGGCCCACTCAGTCTTTGTGTATTTTAGACCTGTTTCCGAGGAGCTTGGCCAGCCCACAACATGATGATGGTGTGCAGGCCT